TATCGTTCTGGCGTGTTGTAAACGTTTTCCGTTTGGCTACACTGTTATCAGCATCCCTAACTCGTCGCTTAATTCATTTGATTCTTGCATATTATTGGTTTTCGGAACAATAGAAAATCAGCCGGAACAAACAGCCCGTGAAGTTATCGTTAACGTCTTTCATCCTGTATTAAGCTTTGTGACTTCTTATACGTTGGTATATAAGCATGGTTAATAAGCGTAACAGTTGCAGTATTTCTCTAGAAAAAAAATCACATTCATTTTATATTGTGGTATCATTCGACATTGCATACTGCAAACGTTGTTTTTTTAAATATTTAAAAAATCCCAATATACCTGTAAGAGCCTCCACAAGTAGCGAAGGCGCACCACTTACTGACACTAATAACGACGATTCTTACATCAAAAACGTCATGTAATGGAACACTTTTATTTTCAAATTCGTAATCTATGGAGAAAACCTATCAAAATGACTTATCGCTCTTTCAAAAGCACAAAAAACTGTCCAAAATGTTATACGATAACGCTTCCCCCAAAACAAGATTTTTATGCAAAAAAATGGATTTTCACAAAGTTCCCCAAACTTTGGCCAATTTTAAGTATCATATTCGCAATTAGCAGGTCCAAAAACATAAAGATAGACTAATTTCATACATTTATATAATGGACAAATTTTGGCCACTTTCAAAATCGCCTCTCTATCTTTTTAAAATTGAACACTTAAATTTTTAACTGGAAAACTTTCATGCGATGCAAAAATAATACTTAAATAAATAGTCTAAAATTTTAAAAAGTGGAAGTAAAAACGAGTTTAAAGTTAAATTTTAATTATTGTTAACATTATTCGTTCGAAAATGAAATGAAATTATTTGTTGTGTACTAACTAATACATTTTTTAATTTTTCAATATAATTAAAGTATTCAGGTCAAAAATTGATCAGTTTAAACTGATCTTATCGCAGAATAACATCCGTAATGAAAGTGTTAAGGACCAACAGAAATAAGGATTAATAGTGAATCATGAAAAAGTAATTTAAATAAGTATTTTGAATGCAATTCTGAGAGCACTTTTTGGAAAAAATTTTGAACACAAAATTTTCTTCTCTAAAAATCCATTTTTTATAAGGTTTTAAAGGCCAAATTGCAAAATAAGGCTTTGTACGTCTCTATATAATTGTATAAAGAATATTTTAGACTCTAAAATAAAGTATAGAGAAAGATCATGAAAGGAATTTTCTTTGACTATCGTGCTGTCTTGTCTCTTCGTGCAGGCGAGACAAGGATCATCTGGAGCTTTTCAGATTCGCCGCATGAGACCCCTAAGATCAGTTTCAAATTGAGCTGGCACTCTTGTTTGACCATTCATCTAAATAAAACGAAAAATATAAAAATGACGAAGAAATTAGGAATTTTCAATTCTAATTAGAAAATTAGGATTAGTCTGAAAAACCCAATCTGGCGGATTACGCTTTGCATTCTTTTGAAAGGCGAACAGGCTTATCTGGGTTAAAGAAGGAAGTGTAGTGGATTTCTGTAAACTGTTTATTATTGTGATATACTTTTTGTTCCTTAACAAAAGGATCGATGTACAATATACAAATAAACTACCGCTTAAAAATTGTTTCTGATAATTTTCTTTCCTATACATATAACTTTATATAGAATAAAGATCTTATACATGAAAATTGCTTTATTTCAGTAAAAATTGCAGTATGTCTTACTACACACCTATCCAATTTCAATGTAGAATTGAACGTGTTAATTGAGAGGGTAGAAATACTTTTGCGGCTCACTATACACCGTGTCCTCGACGATGAGAAGGGATGTCGCAATTGCGAGTAACCCATTTTCGAGAATGAATGGGGAACGAGGGACGTGCTTTAGGTATCAGAGCGTTTCCTAGTTAGCAGAGGGCCATCGATGGATATCTCTAGCCGAGAGTAATGATCGGCAGCATCGTACATCAATGGGAACCTTATTATCGACTCTGCTCGATATTACCAGCTGCTGAATTAACTAACGCCTTCGTATTTAAACACGAAAACCAACCCTGCTTTTCAGCTCCTTGTTCAACCTTTAATTATCGTAACGAGTATTTAATCCTTCATTCTTCTTTTCTTTTTCTCTCTGTATTAAATATATTTCTCTCTCTGTTACGCGGCCGGATCAAACGAACCACAGTTCATGTATGTCGAAGCTCGTTGAATTGTAGGTTTAATAATATATTACCATGGGAATGAAAATTTTCAGTCATTTGACCGCGGTAATTACACGTGTGCTGGGTAAGGGGTTTATTAAATGTGTTCGTGAAACGTAATATCTTTTTCAGGGCTAAAAATTGATCATTTTTACAACCCTTTCTATGTAAATGTAAACTTATGTGATGTAAACTTATAATCATAATTTATCAGAATATTATTAATTATATATTTTGAATTTTTGTAATACAATGTAGTAAAAATTATAGGGGACTTTATTGTTCTTATTTAGGAGACAGATTAACCCTTGGTTAACCATTGGTTTTTAATGTATAAGTACCACTTTTTTATATTTTTATTTCTCCTATTTTGTTAAAGTCTTTCTTAGCTTTTAAAATTATATCGTTATCTACTTTTGAGTATGGAAGTTATAGTATAGATTTAATTTTGACTTGGTTAATTTTTATCGTATCATGATTCTTACTTAAAGGTTAATTGAAATTGTAAAACATATAACAATTATGAGGGTAGCCTGAGTTGAGTCTTATATCTCGAAAACTAATACATGAAATCCTGATATTGAAATGATAAATAAAAAGTGATATTGAAAATATTTAAAATGATAATAAAATATTATTATATTATTATTATTTATTGTTATTACCATTATTAATACTATTAATACTTTTCTATTAATTTTAATTTTATTTACTTGATCTTCATCTGCCAAGTCAATAATTTAAACTGTTTCAACTAGGTATTACATTTTCATACTCGCAATGTGGTGTCTATGTTTAATTTGTATTTATAGTAAACTCCTGCTTACCGGATTACGAATTAAACATTTTTAATATTAAGTACATCATATGCATGCTGGTGCTTTATAAACCAAAACGCTCAAACTATGCTTAACACCCGAAAACAAGCCGTTCCAATTAAAATGGCTTCTTTTATGTAGAATGACCTGTCCTTTTCATGACGCCATTCTTGATTGCGTCTCAGCTGGATATTGCTGTTCCGAGTGGCCCACGGTAGAAGGACTTTGATCGGGCGAATAAAAAAAAAAGAAAGCAACCGTCGACAGCGCATACGTTCCGAACAGAAATTTAATTTTCCGCGTGCATTCCCTTTGTTCCGATGCGCGTCTGCGTGCACCGTGTAAAACTTGTCGCGCGAGCCTCAGGAATTTCACAAAAGCAAATCGATGGGAAACACCGACACCCTTCCACCCTTCTCTTTTTTGTGTCGATAGGGAGCAAGCAACCTCTGTTACGGTGATACACGTTTGTCCTCGAAAGAATGCACGCCCGGGAATTTCCTCGTATCGCGCGAATTATTATTATAACCTGGGACCCTGCTGCGTCTACCAGAGGGTTGTTTTAAATACGAAAGAAATATTTTGCGAAAACACAATTTAAAGTTCCTCTATTAAGCGTGGAATTCTTAATAACGGTACGTTCATAAAGGCTACCTAGTTACTTGCATGTTTTTCATTTTTGCGAAACGAGTTTTATTATACAATTTACCGTGGAAATGAAAAATCATTATTAGGTATTTTTTTCTTGAAAATTAATTTGCGCTAAAATCATATTGGAGTCTGTGAGATTTGTTTACATTTTGCGGTTTAATAACTTTTAAAGTAATCATTAAATTGAATATTTAACTTCAAACTCTTTTTAATTTTCATTTCCTGAATAAAAATTTGTTGTTTAATAAAAATTAGAATACATAATTTTAATAGTTTCACCATTAGCTTTGTCATATAAAAGTCAAATTATTTTTATTTAGATCCTAATTTTAATCCTTAAAGTAATAAAACTGAATTAAATTTTGTAACACTGTTATCATTTGTAAAATTTGTAAAATTCATTATTCGTAATATCCTTATTTTGATATTTCTCGTTGTTTTTATTACAATTATGTTAAATGTAATAGTGTAATGTAATGATTAAAACAAAATGAGAAAATAAAAACATGATATAAGGTACCAAATGGAATATAAATGCAATTACAACGAATTGAAAATCATGCATTTTCTAAACAGTGTGTAATATTTTAAAGCAATTAACAGAGTTATTGACAAAATCAATCTTATCTGCAAATGTATTGACTGATTTTAATATTCTATTAATTGGATCAGAAGAACTATATTTAGTTTCTGCAGTAGTATTATAAAATATAATTTTATGTAAATTGAATGCTATTAAGTAAGCAAGTCAACTGTTACTAAATCAATGTGTCAGTGGTACAATTATAATTGTGAAAGAGGGGATCAAAAAAATTTGTTTTCATACCTTATTGGCGTCATAAACTATTAAGCCTAATTTTATTCATTTTTATTTATTCTAGACGAAAATATTCGTTCAAATTGCGCTACCGCAATGTGTTACCTTATAATTAAATAAAATAAAAAGCTTAGCGCAACAAAGAAACAATTAAACATTAAAAAAACTAAAAATCGTTGATCAGTTGAAGTAAAACTATCTGTCTAATAAAGATTCATTCATACAGACAGTTTGCATTAAGATACATTCATAATAAAACAATCAATTATCTAACGCCAAGTAAAAGTAATTTTGTTCCTAATGCAACGCGAAAGAGTTCTTAAAATAAGAACTAGAGTTGTTGCATATTTCAAGAAACTCAACGTCTGTCCGAACGAATTTTTCTAACGCGACTCTTTCAGTATTCACTTAATAATAAATAACCCTTTTCGACGCTAAATTAGACACTTCGAGAGCCGAGTAAATCGGGATGAATGCGTGCATAAGTAATAAAGTCGTTTTCTCTGTTTCCTTTCAGATGCGGCATCCGATTCAGATGAAACCGGCGGACAGCGAAAACAGAAACGGTGAGTAAAAAAATGCATCACCTCAGTTCAGAGAAGTTTTGATTTTTAACTGCGTTTCCATTTTGCTGGTATTGAATGTTAGAAAAAGTTCTTTAAATATTATATAATGTAATTTTATGTAATCTTTATCCACCTTTCAGGTAATTTAATGATTTCATGATGTATCAGAAAAATAATATTGATTCTGAAATTGAATGATTTCATTGTAAGAAGTGATAGGTTTGAAATAATAAATTCGTTGATATATTTTATAACATAATTATCCCTTAAGAGAGAAACTCTCCGAGTGTTACGCTCGCTTATTGATGAAAGTTTGCCGTCTTGTAAAGCTTATCTATCTAAACACGTCTATACCTCGTTTTGGGGACAGACTTGTTTAAAATGTATTAACAATTAAAGTTAATCACTCCTTACATTTTAACATACTCATACATACAAACGGTTAGCCCTGGGATTAAACACGTGACTGCAAATTCAAATGTCTACAGTCCGAATCTAAGTTTCCTATTTTCCTTTAATTGTTTTTTAAATCAAATTATTGATTACGTTGTTTTTGTTATAAAAATGTTTATAATTTTTATTATTCATTACATGATATCGTATGTTACAGCACCGTAGAGAAACATTTTGATATTAATAATAATACTTTGTTTCTTAATTACAATTATTACAATCAAGCCCGGTATGTATTACCAATAACTTTTTCTATCTACTGCAACAATCTTTTCAGATTTAAATAATTCTTTAATGAATGCAATATTTCTATGAGATACTTTTATGTTATCCTATTTATTTGAGACTTGCTATATTTCGAAATCGTTCATTTAGTATGATACAATATATGTCTTTAAACCAGCGATTCTCAACTTTTTCATAAATGTGTATCACCAAAACCAGAATTCAAAAATTACTGGCATATATTTCTTTTTTCGTTTCTAATAGAACAATTGTAGGGAAAAAAATGTATTAACATGTACGGTATCGGACAAAGTAGGCTTCTCTAGAAAAAATGGCATTGCAGAGGAAACAGGAATTCTCCAAATTTTAATTTTGACAATATTAATATTGAAAGTGATTTAGATCAAAAATAATATAATTTTTATTTATTTAATATTATAAAATTCGGCATATAATTAAGAAATATAAATAATATCATAAATATCAATTCAAATTTTCCCGCATAAACCTTTATATGCTGGTAGGGAGCTGCAGACCTGTAAGTACATTATATGTATGTATACATATGTACTCCCCTGTATCGTTATTCTCTTCGGAAATGCCTAAGGAAACGGTCGGCAGTTTGGAAGCCTCTAGTTAAGAACTGCTACTTTAAACAATATGTCTTTATATAAACACGCTAACCAATCCCTAAATGTAATCCTAAATACAATTTTCATTTAAAACTAACCCACGAATAAGAAATAAAAGTTGTTTAGTTAGGCATTGAAAATAAAGTTTCATGCAGACATGTATAATGACAAGAATGCAAAATTGTCTTTTGTGACGTTAGAACAGAGTTACCCCCTTACCTTTCACCGTTTCCTGATGGTTCCGTCATAGTTATTGGTTGTAACGTCTACGTCGCAGCAGCGACGGAGAATGCAGTTCAAAGCTTGTTCATTAAGTACTAATTAATTGGCTGAATTGAGAGGTTGTCGAGATTGTGTAGTCAAAGAAGATATAATCGAGTCGCGAAGCAACGTAAGGGGATGGAAGGGGTGGCGACGAATGGTTTTAGGAAAAGGGAAGAAAAGGGAGACTTGGAGATGAAGGAGAAGCAAAATTATAAAGGTAATCGAGATCTTCTAGAGTGTGCATCTTCTCGTTATGATTGATGTCTTCAATTTCTTGTTGGACTTTGTTGATGCTCATTTTCATGATTGTTTTATACAATTAGTCAGTCACTATTCCTGACAAAACACTTTCAATCAAAATATAATAATGTCTCAAGTTAAATAAAAATAGTAAGGTTATCAAGATGCAACATGTTGCTGTATAAGTATAATGTATATGGGAAATCGTATATTCTATTAGTCTGGTATGAAATAATTAAACAACAAGATGAAAAACAGTGCTTCAACGCAATATAAATCAACACGCCATTGTATTACAGTTATACAAGCCATACTAAAAAACAATAATAATAAAACTATTCATGAAAAACATGTTACTACAGATTTCATTATGTAACACATAAAAAGTTGTGCACATCTCAGATAAACGTACATATTAATAAGTACAAATCATATTTAAATCAAATTGGAAAAATGTTGAATAGTCAATACTTTCAATGTAGACTGAAATAAAATATTTTATTGTTTAAAATAATTTCAATTGCAAAAGCCAGTCAACCTCTATTTAAAAAAAAAAAGAAATAACAAGTATCTATATATGTACTTTTTGTGTTAGGTGTATAAATTAATTTGGTGTCTTTAGTATTAGACCCTTTTAATTATTATTTTAAATTTGAATATTTTCCTGCACCTCTATGTTTAAAAAGTGGCGCAAGAATATGATAACAATAACAATTATTTAATAATTGGAATTACCATGACGTTTTAAAAATAAATCTTCAATTAAAAGAAAAGGACACAGAATTAATTTATACACTTCATATAATTTCATTAAGTGTTTTATAGTATTATCACGAATTGTATTTGTCATCGAACACAAATTTAACTTTATCTGTTTTAAATAACTCCGATCAAAACAAAGTTTTAAATTACGTTCCAAAAAATTCGAGGGTACATTGTTTACAACCACGAAGAAAGAAAGAATAGCAGCTTTGTCGATAAAAAGGAATCTCTGTTCACGAATAAATTTCATCCCAAAATCCCTGAATGCGGGGGGAATGTTTCAGGAGGAAAACAATTTAAGTTACCCGAATGAATTTCTGACACGCAAGAAGAATTGGAGCGTAAGGAAGGAGAGAATTCCTTGAAAAACACGCGAGTTTTTTCCTTTTCTTTTTTTTTGTTCGAAGCAATTGCCTTGAAATGCATGCAATGAAAATCCGAGTAGGGGTTTTGGCGCGGAGGGGTGTACAAGAACGGGGAATAAAAGCGGCACATCGGTGTGCCCGACGAAAAACGAATGCTAATGAAATATTAACGACACCCGTCACGCGCCATGGCCCAGCTGGACCAGGGATTGCGCTCATTTTTTTTTCATTCCCCTTGTTTTTTTTTTAACACGGTCCAGAAACTACCACCACCATCATATAATAGGTACACGTGACGCAGATTCACGAACAGGGAGAGTCACGTGAATTGGCGTGCAAACGTACCACGAAGGGATTAAATGTCTCGTGGGGAGGAAATATAGAAAGAGATTTTTGATACCATACACGTATTATACATTCTTAAGCTATTTTACGGTTGGACAATTTTTAACACTTTGTACAGTAGAACTTCAGTTTTCTGCAGTAGTGGTCAATAAAATTGTACTACTCCTTAAACACACAATGGGTGGAATATGTATGTAGGTACAACATGGAGCACATTCTAGACTTCCCTAGAGAAAATAGCATTACAGGGAAAACAAAAATTCTTAAAATCTGAATTTTTATGATATTGTGCCACACTCGTAACGCAGCTTACAGTTCAAATGCGTCAAATTCGGCTGGTGCTTTTAGTATGGTTAAATTCTGAGTTTAATTATTATTGTTAGTATAATATAAGCCCAGTCAAGAATCGTTAAATGCCACGTATGCATAATATTTCAATTTTTTTTTATTTGTTTCAAAATTCAGGCAGTGGCTGAATTCAAGCTCTGGCTGATGCAACTATCGAAACAATCATAGGAGAAGGTGTTAATATTAAAAGTAATTTAGAAAAAAGCAATATGGTTTTTAACTGTAAAATTTAGTATAACTGAAAAATACGAATGACAAAGTAGTTCACATGCAAGTGGGGACAGCCACAGCCCTATACATATGTATGTGGCCCTATATGGGGACTCCGCCCATAATTCGTCACGAGCGTTGCAATATTTGGCGACAAAAGGGACGCGTATGACGTCACGTTTTAGTTCTTACGACCAGCAGCGGATGTCGGTGACGTCACGTATTAGTTCTTTTATACCGTGAAACGTGAACACGCATACTAACACTAACTAAAATCACGTAGTGCGTAGTAACATTTATCCTCGCTTGGTGCGCACCAATCAAGAGGACGAAACGGAACATTTCGTGACGGCATGCGTCCCGATTTGTGTTCCCGAATATCGTCACTATTTTTCGGGATTGCCTTCGACGACGGACGAAAGTCCGGAAAGAGGGAAATCTCCAACGAAACCCATTAACCTCGGAAGCAGAGAGGATTCCGAATATCGCCATTATCTCTAGGGAAGCCTACCATGCTCGGAACCGTACACTATAAATATTTTAGCTACACTAAACTATTTTAACGCAGTTTTTTAATAATGCTGCGTCAATTGGATTTTGCATCAGTTACTTCATAATTTTGTAAAAATAGCAATGTTAGATGAGTATTCAAAGCTTGTGACTATAACTTCTTATTAACATCTTACCCCTTGAAGAAAAAGTATAATTATTGAACTCTCAGTACATTAGAGTTATCTATTTACAAAATATTAAAAAGAATTGAGTATACTCCAAGATCGAATGAAGATTTCGCCGGCCCGAGGGAATCAAATCTTCGAGGCCTTTCTTAGTTGATAAATTTGGCTTAAAAATTGAAATTTATTTGAAATGAAATTAAATAACATTTAATCACAAAAAGGCTACTGTAAAAAAATGTCATTTAATATTTTCTAATATAATAAGTTAAAGCTTATAAGGGGGACTCTTAGAAAGTAGGGCCCGTGGTCACAGCTCCCCTTAGACCCCTTAATCCAATGTTCGTGTAGTCATTCTATAGTATCTCTATTTCTTTAAAAAAAGTTTAAGAACCGAAGATCTTATTAGAAGAATTATATTTTCTGTAATGTAAAGTGTACTTTTACAATGATGCAATTTCTATGGTCACTACTGTAATTTT